CCCAACCCCTTCCCCCGAGGAGCTCCGAAAGGAGCGCTCTGCTCTAGTTAAAGAAAGGAAGTGAACGAATTAAATGAATGGGTCACCAGATGAAGGAATTTTATGTCTATAAGTACTCGTAGTGCCCACGGTACTGAGCGCTGCTATATTGAGAACATAATATGTTCTCCGTCAGCAGCTATGTTGTTCCATACCACAGTTTGAGCATTAAATTATGAAAACTGTTTAAATTCGTGTTTTATGTATCTGCAATTGAGCTGGAGATTTGTAACACCTTTAAAGTTCCCTGTAGGTAAATTTCTGTGCCTTCATTAAGTTTGCAACTCTGTGTTAATTTTTGGAATGTAAATTGGATAAAGGTGCATTTTATATAACTTGTAAGTAGGTTCTGTTGCTTTGTTTCCAAAACAAACCTACCATATGCTTGGGCGATCTGTTGTGTCGATATTGACCATAAATATCACATGAGTATAACGTGAAAGAATTTTATGTCACTTTTGTATAAACACAAATCTACGTGCGTTGGTGTAACCAATTCTGTATACTTTTGCAAAGTATATGAAAGTATATTTACTGAATACCGACATAGGAATGGATAACTGACAGGAATATAGGGTGGAGTTGGCAAATTGTGTGGGTTGTAAGGTCGTCGCCACCGAAGCAAGTATTGATTATACGAGGCGTATGAGGGTAATGACCCAGGCCGTCTGTGACCTGCCTCAAAGATGTTTAGTCTGTAGCAGGTACCCTAGAATTCAGACCGATTGTCTGCTTTGGATAGTGACGACCCGTCTCGGTGCATATTGTCTGTGAATCTTGTTAAGTACTGGGCACTTGGGCGTTGCAGGTGTGTCAAGGTAAAATCAGTTTCAAGTGCTCAAGGTAAAGTCAGTTCTGTGTTATGCAGCTTTTAGCCTGTTACTGTAACATTATGCCTGAATCACAAAGCCTAGTACATGTTAGCATGTGTTGGAAGGGACACTCCTAGTGGAAAGGAACTATTTTGCTCAGATCTTATTTTGCCGAAGCAACATAACCTTACACATTTCCTAATGGTCATGTACTTTTTTTAACTCGAATTTGTGATTTGATATTTGTTTCAAGTGAACAAAAATCATAACCCATGCTGGTGAAGAACTTATGTATTTGCTTTCTGGGCATATATTCTACTACAATTGGTTGTATTTGTAATTTAACGTTTTGGAGGTTTTCTTTCACATACCAGAAATGCCTTGAAGTAGTGATACTGAGTCACAGGGTTACTTTTATACTAATTTTAATATATGAATTATATTAATTCGCTAATCAGTCACTACTGTAAGGTTATCCATTCACAGTAAAGCTCCCGTATTAGCTAAGGTTGAATCCAAACTGGTCATTTTCCACATGAACACCTTATCTCTAGCCAGTAGTGAGGTGGCAGTATCCTTTCCTTTCACTTGTTAATGCCGGTTGAATTCCTTGCATGTTGATTGTTCCTTTTGTTACTGTCCATACTTGCCGTGGAGCTCTTTCCTCTGTGGTGAAGTGGGTGGAGTATGAAGGTGATCTAATTCCAAGGTTAAGAATGCAAATAGATTTATGTTTGTTCCTCCATGTGTCTTCAGTTTGCCTTACCTTTTCTTTTAAATGTAAATAATGACCAGTGTAATTTTCCAGTGAAGACGTTAAATAAATATGATTTTTGTGCATTTTCTCAGTCTATCCATAAGGAGTACCATGCAACAGTTATTCCAAAAGATAAAGGTTGTATTCATCCAGCAAAATATGCTGTTAACTGGTACCAGAAGGATTAAGAATGAATATTTTTTTTACACAATTTGATACAACAATAAAATGTGGCTGTAACCAGTTTCTTATTAACTAATTATTTTGGGTTGACACAGGATTGAGCTAAACATAGATGGAACTAAATACTGACAGTTCTCCAACTGGAAATGGAGTACCTTTCAAAGTTGTTGACTTAACACGAGAAAAGAGGAAAGGTGTTGTGGCAGCTACATTACAGGATCTTATTATTCGTGGTAAGTTGTTTGCAGTATTAATAATATACAGCTTTGTTAATCATGACAGTCTTGTTCAAAAATGTGAATTTATGGTAAATGTCAAAGTTTCTGTGCTTTTTCTAGCTCGTAATAAAATGGACCTTCCAAGGGATATTCCTGTGAAGATTGTCTTAGAACAAGATGGCACAGAAGTTGATGATGATGAGTATTTTAGTACCATGGAAAGAAACACCACTCTTATGATTCTAATTAATGATCAGAAATGGTTACCTCCAGGAAAATTGCCCAGGTTAGAATAAACTATTCTTGAAAGTAAATGATCCAGTGAGTACTTGAGAGCCTTTCTTCATATGTAAAATGACCAGAGTATTGTTCATTCACTTCCATCTAGTATGGATATTTCTAAATAGATACTGTGCTGATTATTTAAACATTCTGTTACATTTGTACTTTAAGAATTTTTCAGTTGAAGAATTAGAACATTCATTCCTTAAAATCAAAGAATAAATGTAATATTTTTGGACCACTTACCCTCATCTAGTGCCAAGGTCAAGAAAGAGTAGGAGCTATACCTCCACTCCCCCCAAGCGCCTACATGGCATATAGTGGGACAGCTTTACTTTACTTTACTTATATGCTTTTAGGTATCAGATAATAGTAGATGAACCGGATTCTAGTGGGACACATACCAAAAGGGATTTAGGTGGTTTGGTAGAACGGTTACAAGGTGATCTTACTCATATATCAATGCTTGGAGGAAAAGACCTGGAATTACTGAGTGACATGGACCCTGAAAGTTTAGCAGACATCATGCCAGATAAGTAAGTATAAAGAAGGCTTACATTTGCTGTTCTCTTCTGTGTCAATACTCATAATCAGTTAAATACAAGTGACCATAATCATAATCGCAAGTTTAGAGCTCAGTCAAGGCTCATGCTTAGCATATGATTTGATGAAGTCTGTACTCAGAGTGTATGAGCAGTTGTTGTTTGTATTGCATAATTTTACTCCAAATGCCTTTGATATTCTCTTCAATCATTTTCATTAATCTTGCAGCAAAATGTTAGGTGATTAAAACTGGGAAACATTGTTATGCAAGCGGTTGTGGTGTATTTTAAGATACTACCTAAGCTTTTGCCTGGAATAACTAAGAAAACCACAAAAAACCTCAGTCAAGATAGCCAGTCTCGGCCAACTTTTCGATCCCAGACCCTGCAAGTATGAAGCAGAAGTGCTAACCACTAAACCAGCACATTCAGTAATGTTGGTCAAAAGCAGTAACATTATTTAGAATCTGCACTGATGTGAGACAACATAATTTAAACTAGGACTACAAACAGTGAAATTAATCACTTTAGCCCCGGCTTCACTTCTTGTATTGATTTGATGTAACACTACCATCACTGTCTTCTAATAAATCATGTATTGATCCAATATTAGTCATCCAAGGTAAACAGTTCTCTAGAATCATAATCATTTTAAACTGACCCCCTTCAGACTTGTGTGTACTGGTATAATGTACTTTGCCATGGTGCTAGCAGGCAAACCAGTGATTATGAGATACATCAAAACAAAGTCTGTAAACCTGTACATAAATTTTACAAAATTATTTCACAGCTGTAGGTATAACAAATAACATACCTTACACACGAGTTTGATTAAGTTTTCGCAAAAATCAAGGTGATAGACATTTTTCATATGTACTTGGCTGAACATGTTCAGAGTAACAGTTGCAATGCTTGCACATATTTTTCCTGTAAGTACTCTAAATCACAAATCTTTACTAAATAGATAGCATTAATAATGTACTGCCAGGAAAGAAGTCTGTTTCATATCAGAAACTCTTTTAGTTCCTGTGGTCTAACTATTCTGCATATAAGACTTCATGAAAGTGTGTTCTTAAATGTGGCAGATTGCCATGGTGAAAATAAATTGACATTCCATTTTAACTTTTTGTGCCCTCAGTTTGTGGAATGACAGAATTCCAGTGCATCTTTTGAAACCTGAATGGTAATTATTTTCTGGCAGACCGATAAGGTCCAATAATGCAACTATTCATTAATCCCTGCCAGACATTACCTTTTCAACTGTAGCATTTTTTTCCAGTACAACATGGAATTGCATGATCTCCAAATCTTTCACATATGATGAATTAATGTACCATTTATGTGAAAAGTGACTTTATCAGAAAAAATAATTTGAAGACATTTAGTACATTCTCAACATTACTCAGAAGGAAATGGTCAGGTTTATCAGGTCAAAATCTCATCTTAAATTTTGCTTATTTCCAGGGCCCATCTATTAATTATTATACACAAAATTTCAGCCATTGATATGTGGTGTAAGATGGTAAAAAATTGCCCATTTTGATATGTGCAGTCTAAATCCATGCCGCCTTGTACACATGCCATGGCAGTTTACTTAGCAGTGATGCTGTATTCTCCAGCCTATTTGAATGGAGCCAGATACTGATAAGGCCGTGAAAGACTTGATAAATGTTGAACGTGTATGCATGCACACACATCTGTAACCTATTATGAGCATATCATTGGAGAAAGTTGTAAGTTGAGGTATATAAACCTTGACTCAAACTATTTTCAGATAATGTGAAATCTTTTCACCATTATCATTACATGACAAATGAAATATGTTTTTGTTGTAATGAAAACTTAAGTTTGCACTTCTACATGGGTAGAAATGAGGTGCATCTTCATTCTCATTTTCAGGGCTTTAGATACATGGATGATGCTATAGTTCCAGTCAGTAGAACTCATTGTCTGCAATTGCAAGCAGCTCATCTGTAAGTGTGGTACAGGCTAAGACTCGACTGTTGCCTGTTCCAGCAGAACCTTCCTAGAGCAGCTGAAGGAAGCTAGTGGAAGATTCTTGACAGAAAAGCGACAGGCTCAGGAAGCCATGGAGTTGCTCAAAATATACCATGCCTCCAAATAGAAGGAGCATATGAAAGTAAAAGTGGACAGGTATTCTGAGGTATGAATGGGGACTTTCCTAGCCCACAGTTGGGTGAGTTACTTTTTATACATGTTTGAATTAATCTGTATCAAATGGTAGAAACTTGAAACTACCCTTTTCCTGTGGAAGCAGGTAAAAACTAGTGATATCATCAGGTTTTTCAAAGAATTAACATATGAATGTAAAACAATCAATACATGTGCATTAACAAGAGTTTGCTCCAAAATTATTTCACCAGATATTATAAATTGCTCATAAAAGTACTCTTTTAATTCCATTAAAGTCATTGCATTACTGTAAAAAGGAGGCTGTGTTGGATTTCATACAGTGCATGTACAGAGTTTCCAGTATAATATAATGAAGTGTTATGATTAATGTATGGTTTTGCATTGTGTAGATTATATCCAGTGGATTCTTCAAGTTTTTACATATAAAATCTTTGTGCATTGGTTTTAAATTAGTATTTTTAATGTTATTAAGAAATGTAACACCAATATTGCTTCTGCAAGAGGAATGTACATACCCGCAAAACAATTTTCAATAAATGTATACATACATTTTTAAATTTACTCATAGCACTTATAGTTTCCAGTCAGGAAAATGGCAACTTTCTTTTTAATCATCAGATACTGTTCAGATTTTCCATACCTCTGTTGCTTTCATGCTACTTTGTTCTAGAATAATCATGACACAGTGATGTGATTTATGTGTTAGCATGTATTTCTATGACTCAGAAGCCACTAATAGTAGGTTAATTATTTCAGATGGTGGCTAACCAATTAGAAAGCTGTTCATCATATATAGTACAAGTATTAATGGGAGAATCCAAAAATCTGTATTGTATTTTGTCCAACATTGTCACATATCAGTCTCAAAACATTAAATTAATGCAATCTGAAATACTGGTTTATCTTATTGTTTGCTACTATGATAAACTATAGTTCAGAGTACATACTAAAATAAAAAGAACATAGTTGGAATTTAGAGTTGGTTTGTAATTATTTAATATTAAACATTTTTGCTAGTGTTTGAAGTAGTGTTAGAGTGCAGACCCTCTGTATTTTCTTCATTTATTTCTGCTGTGTACATTATTTTGTATCACTATACTGTTAATCTGCTTTTACCAATACATTTCCGTGCAACCAACTTCTCACTGCCACCTTTAATGTTAAGTAAAACAAAACATAAATATTCTGAATAAGGAACTGTAATTAGTTGCAACAGTATTTTTAGGCATGATGCATCTGTTTGTCAAGTGACTTGCATTTTTGTGGTATACCTAACCTCCAATAGTGATACGATACCTGAGCAGCCCTGGGTGGACAAAGACAGGGGTTCTAAACCTGTAGTAAATGTACTCCACATACATTAAATGTTACAGAAAACAAATAATGGGATTAGTTTTCTGATAATTGTAGAGCACGCTTAATATTTACAGATTACACATACCATGCTTGGAGAAAAGTGGCCTAAAAAGGTTGGGAACTACTGTACTAAGGTAAAGCAGGGTAATGAAGTTTCTTATTTTTGTGTAATAGTACTTATGACAGCTATGAGACCCGCTGTTTTCTGTGCCCTTTTAAATGCTTGTGGTACTGTAATTGCAGTTAGAAATTTAATCCCTATTAGAAGACGTTTATTTTTTTACTATTAGTGAAACTGTATTCTTAGATTGTTAGTGAATCTTTTATATGGAATGTAGAAAATATTTCCTCCAAGAATAACATTTTTCTGAATATCACTGGGCCTAATTTCACCAGTTTTATGTATGCTGTAGTGAATATGGTGTTCCTCTGGGTCCAGATTCCAGCTAAAGAACCAAAGAAAAGTAAATTATCCTTTGTAGATTAAATTTTCTCCAGAGTTTATTTCAGTGTATAGGTGTTGGTTAAGCCACTTGAAAAATCTTCATGATACTTTAAAATTTATTTGCCACCCTTGGTGAAATGGCATGTTTAATTTCTTGCTGCATTATATAACAGAATAAATGTTAAATGTTTCATTTGAAGAATATAAAAATATGAAGAATATGAAACAGACAACAGGGAACATGAACCAAAAGTATAGAAAATGAAGCAAATTTGAGTGGGTCTCTTTGACCTACCATAGATATACTAATGTTTAACAAATAATTATTTAATAAAGTGCTTGTATTCCAGTCCATTGTCTCATTCTGAACTGTGCTTGGAGCCTATTTATTCAAGTACAATGTTTATTGAAGTAATGTTTAATCTTGCATGTTAGAGTGTAAAGTCTGAACATTTCAGTCATGTGATTAGCACATCTGCTTTGCATTCATGAGGTCCCAGAGACCAGCTATTCTCACTGAGATTTCTATGGCTTTCCGTAGTCCCTCCAGGCAGGTGCTGAGATAATACCTTAAATTAAGACATGGTTACTTTTTTGTACATCCTTGCCTATTTTTTATTGACTAATAATCCTATCACTAAACACTTTAAAGCTCAGTGGTAACTATTTGCACCATATGCTTTAACAGTCACTAACTTTGCATCTTTCCCACCATGTTTCATATGATTATTAGAGTAAACAGCAACTATTCCCTGAAATAGTGTTAACCAGTTGATCTTTGTAATGGATAAGTCATTATTTAGATAGAAGTTAGTTTAAGTTATTTCAGATCCAAGACGATGTGACCTTCTGGGCTGACACTTTGCAGCCTTGTTAGTGGTTATTAATTTTTGGGGGGGAACATAATGCCTCCATCTTCAGGGTAAAAGTACTGCATACAAGAGTTCACAGTGCCACAGCCCAGAAGACCATAGTCTGAAAATTAGTTTAAACAGTATGCAGTAGTTTTTTGATGTACCAGTATTAGAGAAAAGAATGCAAGCTGTGTTATTTGCATGAAAAATATTTTGAGAAGAAGGTTTTCAGTTTTGTGTATATGTAGGGCATTCAGAAGTTTAAGATAAGAGCAAGCATATACTTCAGTGGTCACATAGCTGTCACTATGAACTTTTTAATACAACACATTCACCAATAATGAATACATGCAGAACATTATAGTAAATGTATTTGTATTAATATTGTTAACCAAGTTTAGTTTGCATTGCTGTAAATAGTGCGACTTTAAAGAATGAGTACATTGAAAATTGTTTCTGATTGAAAGAAAGTCATGATAAAGATTTATAGATAGATGGGACCTCATACTGTAGCTATGTAGTTATCTGATTACAGTTTCTTATACTACTACATTTTGTTGTAGCCTGGACATGTATGGTATTGGCAGAAATTACTGTTTGTTAAATGGTAGAGTATTTTGCAAGGAGAGATTTTCTGTCACTGGAAGGTTTAGTTTAAACAGTAGTGTACTTCAAAGTATACTCGGTGTTTCCAAGGAGTAGCTTATAAACGTTAGACAGATTTTGTTGTGGTTATGATGTAAAAAATGCATTGATCTACCATGGGAGTGAATATAAATATGTGCAACCATTAGTCTTACAGTTTTATAAAATGTAAAGCATTAATGATTTCTCAGACTGCGAAGAGCAAGTCTGATTGTGCAGTTGAAATTTTGGAAAGGAAAGTATTTTAAGAACAGGTTTGCCTAATACCAAATGTTTTATAAATGCAGATGCTTGAATAAATCTTTATATGAAACAAGACCAATTTGATAGTGGTGTACTGAAAGCTGCAATAGCAAGTGACATTGTTATATTCTGAATCAAATGACAACCTGCCTATACAGCATGGTTTCATTAGAGCAGTGAATATCATCAAACAAATTTAATAAAAACAAACTATGCACTTAGGCTTGATTTCATGCAATATGCAATAGCTGTAATATTGACATACATATTAAATATGTGAAGCTAGAAGCATATTATGACACAAGTAGGAGAATGTAATTCCTCAGAGTGTCTCGATAGGAAGTGAAAACAGTTTTCATTTTTGTTATGAATTTGGAAAAATACTTGGTAAAGTAAATGAATTGATCTATTCTTGCTCAGGGGGTTGACATTGTTACATAAATACATTACATTTTTCAAGTTAAGAGACATAATTTGGATTAATTAAGTGCTGTTGTAAGATCTGTTCAGGAGATAGTAGTATTAAAATGTATCTTAGGGAAATTGGTTCTGAGGATGTGGACTGGATTGAACTAGATTATAATTTTATCGAGCATGAAGCTTCACCAGTACTCTGTATGGTTTTATTATCATACAGTTAACTCTTTATTTCTATAATCCCCATCCATCCATATTTCCATGTATATAATACCATTTTCCATAAGTGTTTGGTTTAACTGAAGTGATTTGTTAAATTATTTTTTAAGTCATATCTTGGGACTATTAACCAAAAAACAACAACATATTTTTAATGGGAAAGACAACACTTCTATAGATACGTCAAAGAAATCTATGTTATTTATTGAAATTACCATTGACTAGTAATGTTAGTGAGGTATATGGTCTATAAAATTGCATTATATACTTTAATATGGAAGATACTCTATTGTCAGTGTGTAACAAACTGTGGAAAAGTTCTGTAGGCTGCCACTACTACAATTAAAATGGTCCCATTTACTTATTTTTATCTTCAGATATTTGTCTTTTTTCTTTATCATAACATTTATGGGCTTAAATTATTTTTATTTTAAGTTTGTAACTATAAAATTAAACTAGTTTTATTTTTCTCAGTACTTTCATTTTTTGATTACAGTTCTAACCCTGTTCAGTTATTAAAATGAAAATTTGTCTTGTCAGTGACATTGTTATGAAGAAATAAATTGAAACCACTGAACTCAAGTCAAGACAGTTAAACTGCATTTTTTAAAATGTCCTTAAACAAGGAAAGAAGATGACGTTCCAGGAATTAAAGCGAGAAGCCGAGAATAGGGACAACTGGAGAGCTCTTTTTGGGCAGAGCAATGGACCTGTCGTAAGACAGAACACTTAATAATAATAATAGTTGATAATCTACCTTTGAAGTTTGCAACTTCTGTAACAACTCTAAACTGCGTAAGAAACTGAAGAACACAATCAATAAAGCACACTTTCCCATCAATAATTAAATCTGAATCCAGTAGTTCGGAAGATAAGAAAATACTGTATAGTATATAAATGCATATTTAAGAGGTGTACTTGTTTGATGCAGTTTAGTTAGATTAATAAAAAACTGTAAACATTTATGAAATGTTTAATATGAACAGACCACCATTAAATTAACTCATTGAGGAAAACTAATAAAAGTGAACATTTGTCAAATGTTTTGCATTTATTGCAGCAACACAGTGGTTACACCTTTGTTCTTTATGTTCATAATAAGCCTCAACCCAGATATGGAATTCATTTTCCCACCTTGCACTCCCCTCCTCACTCATTTATCCAGATTTGGAAAAGTTGGTGCCTGGACAGGATGTATGTAATTTTAAATATGTGGGATTTGCAGGCTTTTTTTTTTGTTTATTTTGCAAAACTGTCAGGTAATTTTATTTTTTGCTTGAAGTCAAGTCTGAGAGTGCATTTTTATTGTTAATACTAAGTGGCTAATGTAAAATTTAATTGTAAAATGGCATAGGCTTACATTTTCTGAAGCCAATGACATTATATGCTACAATCCATAAATGGCCAGTGTTAATGTGGATTCAATCTACAAAAGCCCTGGACAATGATTATTGCAAGACTGATCGGCTGTGGGAATTATAACACAATTAATTGCTCAAATTTCACCAAAACTCATGTCATCTCTAAATACTTTTGCATTGACAAGGAAACACTTTTTAACCTTTTTGAAGCTTATAAGAAATTGTGAAACAAAGTAAGAGATGTGTCCTGAAAAAAAAAACTATATGTAGTGTTTATAAGTGTGTTTGATGTATGTATGGTTTTCTTATGTGTAACAAAAAATTAATAAACAGAAATGAGAGATAATTGTAGTGCCATATCAGTGGAGGGAATAATTAAGTTTAAAAAAATCTAATTTTATGTATACTGACAACCATCGTATGGATGTATGTAAACATATTCGCATAGGTTGCTAGTACTTACCATTTGCAGGTTTAATACAAAAAGCTCAGTATTTTATCATACTGCATTGTATTATTATATTCTGTTAAGTTCACTGGACTGCTGTGCTGTGTATATGCCAGTTCTCCATGTATAATTGATTGCTACTGGTATAATTATGTGTGATTGTTTGTTATATGGTACTGTACTGAAATTTTAACACATATTAGTGTATTCCCATAGATATGTATTGTACCTCTTCTGTTCTGAAGAACTAGGACCACATTTAAGAGAAATTGAATCTGATCTGGTCTGTATATCTTATGCTTTAACTGTGTCCTGTGAGCAGATTGAAAGGTCAGCTGACTTAAAATTTTCTGTGATCCATACAAAGACTGTCTCATTTATTCCCTTATACCAAAACATAATAACATGAAAGCAGTATTATTCACCCAAGATTACATAATTCCCATGTAATACACATATTTGAATTTACACAGGTGAGAGGAGAAGCAGCCCTTTTGGGAACCAGAAAGGAGGGTATGGATGAGTGGGAGTGAGACACCAGTGTGGTTGGGAAGCAGTAAGGATGGAAGTGGGAAGCTGCCGCATTCCACATCACTTGTCTGTATCCTCTTTTTTTGTCCCCTAAAAGGGACACTTTTTCTCTTTTATTTTCTTCTGCCACTCTACCTTCTGGCGCCATGGCTCAGACATGGCTTTATCTCCCTCATCATAATCTCAGTGCCTCTGATTGGCCAGTCCATCTCCTTTCCCTAAGCCATCCCCCTTTGCACAACACTCCTCATATCTCCCACCAGTAGCAACATCCCTTAGTATGAACACATCAAGCAAGGCCTTCAGTCAAGACGCCAAAACCCATCAGCATACTCACATCCCCAGTTATATAGTTTGATGTACTGTTATGCAGTTCCAGTTATGTGTTTCATATGCAAGAATGGTTTAAGAGGACGGGTCATTTTGTGCTTCCTACAAGACTCTACCCTTAGTTAGCTTTTGGTTGTTGAATACTCCTCACTTTAGCCCTGATGGTGGAGCAGTATGTTCATCTGAAGCATTGGCAGCACAGCCCACTTCCATATGGTGCCAGCACTGAAAAGCAGGGTCAGCGTCAAAGATTTTCTTTGTAGCAAGGACAGGACTGGGTGAGGAGTGAGGTTCTGAATAGGAGTTTAATAGAAGGTTTTATGATAATTACAGTGTTAATCTCTCTCATATGCAGCAAACAATTTTAATACAAAAATGTTGGGAGGTGACATTTTCATCCACAGATGTTTACATGAGTATAAGCTAACTTAACCATTGTTTTGATTTGTTTGAAAGTATTGTATGGATCATTGTCTGATACCTTTGTGTCTTAAAACATATTCCATGGTTTTAAGGAGTCTACGGTTAACTGAAGTTATGGACACGAAAATTCACTAACATCATTGTTTCAAGTGGTAATCCACAAACTAGCAACCATTGTTGATGGTTTATTTTATTCCAGTTTGCAAATTGTAGTTAGCATTGTTATGTGTTGGAAAATTAACTCATTTAAAACCTTTTAATTTTTTTATAGTTTCTGTCCTTGTTCATACTTCTGAATTGTGAATTTTTACTATGGGCACTTATGGCATCTATTTGACTTTAATACCGTATAGGTATTTTAGTTATTATGTTGTAAATAATTATGTTTAGGCTTGCTGGCAATAATTATGTTTGTAAATGTTGCTTTGTGAGATAGACTGAACCAATCATAAAACCCACTTCTAATATACAAATCCTTGAATCAGAAGAGGTTGGGAACCATTGAGCTGCATAATATTTTTCTGAAGAAATTTCACACATTCTGAATTAACTAGTTAGGTACACATTAGTATTATAATTCTGTGTGTTTACACACTTAAAACTCCTCAGTGAAGTTCTTTCAATCACGTTAAACTGATATTTGCTGCAAATTTGTAAGACACATGTTATTAATGGAATTTTTATGGTTGATGTTGATAGGTAGTATCAGAGTTACATTTCATGTTCCACACGTTTTTAAGCTAAAGGACAATATTAAAAACTTCTTCATACTACTAATTTTAGATAAATGTGTTGGTTCAGTATCACTCTGTGAAATTCTCTTGATACTCTTAATGCACCCTGATGTAGAACTCACTTGTTATGTGAACTGTAGGGAAGTGATATATTTATACAAGAAGGAAAAAGGGGGGATTGTTTTTTATACTTCATATCTGACCAGAGTCAAAGGTTTTAAAGTTACAAAATTTTACTCTCCAATACAGTTTGGTGTATGTTAGAAGAAATTGGATGTTCCTCCATCAGTTCCTTATTTTGTTATTAGACATGATTTTACAGGGTACTAGATAGGGATGAGTGGTCAGTGTCACACCCCGGCCACGCTTTTCCCCTGGGAGAGGACCCCAGTACCCATTGGATAGAAGGCTAGGTGGATCCCAGAGCCAGGCTGGATGCAGAAACTGGAGGATAATTCCCCTGCCCCCATTAAACATCAGGACTTAATATTCCTCTGAATTTGTTACTTACTAAGCAGGTGCTTAGTCCTCGGATGAAGATTGGTTCTTTTTTTAAGCAAAAATTATGTTTTTATTTACGTAATTTGACATAAAAAATTGTAAATCGAGGGATAGATGTATTCTTTGGAAAGTATCAAATTGAAAGTGCTCATGTTCTGCAGTTTTCTAAATGCATTTTATACTGAACTATAAATAAAATGTTTTTGTTTGGTAAGTTATTCATTTTCAACATTGTATATTACTGTAATTTATTTTATTAACACAGTGCAGATTACAAAGATTGTTTAATTTTAAACAACTAATGTTCATAATAGAGAACCTTTGTTTTCTTAGATAAGGTTTACAGTAAATTTGGGCCTGTACAAAATTTACTGCTGACATTGTCAAGATATATTCACATTATCCTTTTCAATTTTAAATGATATGTTTGAAATGCTGGAAAGCTGGGAATGATATTCTAAGCATACATGCAGTCTTTTGATGAAAGTTTTTACATTTCAAATGTGTGATGATGTTAAAATAAGAAAACACATTCTGTGGACATTCACATTTTATTGTTGTAGCAAGGAGTATGGTTGTACAAATTAAATTGCAGCACATTTTCTGGGCATGAGTGAGTCATACGTTTTAATATATGTTGGCTAGACTGTCAGTGCCAGTGTATTTATATTCATACTATTTTAGTATAAGAACAAGTTCCACTTACTATGGGCAGAGAATTCAGAAAGATTACTTAAAAAGTCTTTGTTGACATAACTTTAATGCAGTTATTCTAGTAAGTTGGTACTATTCTGCATTCCAACAAGATTTGCATTATGATTATAATCTTATGTGTTCTGAGTATTCCTATATTATTATATCACATACAAATGCCATTTTAAATGTATTATAGAAATTATCTTTGTGCTGTTAAGTGTTTAATTCACGTCCTGATGAAGTCTTTTAAGATGAATAAAATATTTTTAATTTGGACTGAAATTATAACTTGCAAGAATATGTCAAAACCAGGCTGTAATAAAGTATTTCAGGGCCTTACCTTGTAGCTTTATTTCAAACATCTGAAGTGGAGGTACTTTTAAAAGTTAGTTCAGTCAGAATGTTTTGGTGATGTATATTCATATATTTTTATAATCTGTTAAATATTTCAAGTGTTGTGCTTGAGGACATTTAGTGAGGTAATTATTATTAATATAAGTTAGTAAATACTAGTATAATGATCAAGCTGAACATGGTAATCAAGCCCAGATACTTCTTAGCCCATATCCCCTGTGCATTACAGGTTAAACATGTGTCCAATTCAATAACGAAAAGCATTCATTTTTTAACTTATGAATTTATGTAAGCATATTTTCTACAAAGTATTGTGTGGCTTCTTTGATTTTGAGTTCAAATCTTCAGTGCCTCTGCACCTATTAGTGAGTTTTGAACTTAGCAGTGTTACGATAATTGACATTGCAGTCCAGAGTTTATCAGCCAGAAGTGTTTTATTAGTCAACAAACCACTGGCCTTCTGGAAGCTTCATAATTTTTACTTTTCACCAGATGTTTTAAAGTAAATAATTTTGCTCTTCTCTTGCAACTTATGGACCTCTAAGTGATCAGAACTGTCAGCAGTAGACATGAAACAAAAGGTAATTTTCAAAGTAAACTCATAAGTGAGTTACTGTTCCAGACAGTAGTAGTTCCTAATTTAACATTTAGAATTCTCTTTAAAAACAGAAACAATGTACATATATGTAAGGGTGTATGATGCTTAATTTTGAAAGGGTATTATCATATTGTGAAACATTAAGGGAGGGATCCAAGGAAAGCCCTGATTGGCAGACTTTAAACTGACTTTGCTGTTATTTAAATATGATTAATAAACTCGCCAGGTTATCCTCTTACAGACAGACTTGTCTATGAGCATCACAATAAATGTGTCTGGACTCTGAGGCCTGTCGAAGAGGAGGATCCAAGTAAAGACATAGACCTGGAAATCGAAACAAACAGATTTACTTGAAAATGATTTACCTAAAAATTAATTTCAACCTGATTCATTATATTCGATTACTCTTTGATGGGATTTGAAGAAGTAACTGGAAAAAGTTGGATGTTGAAGCGTAGATAACCTTCTTACCGACTGGGTTACCGCTAACGAAATACGTGACTTGTGTTTGCTACTATGCATAGGTGACAGTACAATACCCATGGAGTTAAAATCGAAAGATAAGTATGGTTTCAGTCTTCTTAACTGCACACAATCAATGATGCTATTTGGAGAAATGTATGCCATTGGTTGAATACAGCTATTGGTTGATAAATGCTATGATGATTGGCTCGTGTAAGGAAACCAATTAGATTACAGAATTCAAAGCTTCCGTTGAAACGGTCTGATATTGTCGTGGTACGCATTTGTGGAATGTAACGTGTTTTGTAAATAACAAGGAGCAATTTAAGGTAGTATTAAAAAGATATTTCATTACACACTCCTTTTACTCTGTCAATGAATTTATGTTGTTTACAAATAAGTGATAAATTTTCTTCTGTGTGTAACGGGTACATCTATTTGTAGCTAATCATTTCTTTAGGTGAACCCTTTGTTTTGTATTATGTGAAATTTATATAATAGTATGTATTGTATTATTATTATGACTTTTTCCACATCCTATTGTCATCTGACTGTCTTATGGGTCCATGGAATGTATATAAATTATTATTATTGATACAGCACACTAATAAAGAATTGAATTTAAGTGTACATCTATTACTGGTGTATGAAGCAATACATAAATGTTATTAATTATTATATGAGACTTTCCTGTCGGAATAGAGAAACGGTAAAAATTGTAAATTAGCTTTACTGTGACGCGTGGACGAATCTTTGTGTAGGAGGGTAACCTGATGAGTAGTTTAATTAGTTATATTTTGACAGTCCTAGAGTTGGTGTATGAAGTCAGCTAATAAAAGATTTGGATCAATTGTGAACATTGGATGAGGGACTACTGCCCTCTAGAACAGTAATTCACTTTTGAGTTTACTGTAGAAATTACCTTTCATCTTAAGTCTACTGCTGACAGTTCTGCTTATTAAGAGGCCCATAAGTTGAAAGAGAATTGCAAAATTGCGTGAGCTTGGCAGCTTTAGCTGTACTTGTTAGGTGTTAAAATTACTTGTTTTGCCTTTCAGAAACAGCTGGAATAGAACAGAATTTAATTACATTCCAGATTTGGGAAATTAAAATTACATATTTTAGCTTTAAGTTGCAGCAGACATGCATATTTTTCATTTAGAATTTGTATTACATTAACATTTACATGGAAGGCTACTATTTAGATAATGTACGTGGAAGAGTATTTAATTGTTACATCAGACCATTTCATACATGTTGGCACTGTGTATAGGAGGTAATGGATGAATTTTATTTATTGTAAACCAGTCTAAAAAGAGTTTAATATGACAATATGAAGTATAAAATACATCATTCCCATCATACCATGATCTCAGTTGATTAATCCTCCTACTTTTAATGAAATGCCCATTTTGTTCTCCTTGAAACAAATTGTCTGTATGTATCATTTAGGTTGTTTTGGTCAGAAATTGTATATGATGAAAAATTCTTGTAACATATACACTTTTTTATTCAAGAAGGAAACTTGAGTTGTGCAGTGAGCCATCTGCTTCTCTGATTTTCTCAGTTTTTACTTGTTCATGATTCTTCCTTATACTTTTATTTGAAGTATTTATATTTTACTTATTTTAAAAATGTCTTGAAATAATTCAGGATGTTTTATTTAGAGATAGAAACATCAAGCCATTTGATTAATTGAGATGGCCTATGTCAAGACTATTAAAAAGTGAATGTTCAGTATTTTGGAGTTTTCTTGAGACATGCACCAGTTTAAAAAAGTTTATGCAAGTTGTTGTGTATTTATTTGTTTGTTCAGTAACATAGTTGATTTTATGTATGTGCAATTTTTTTAGTATATTTCAGAGTGTACAATGGAAGATACCTCAAGCAATGTTTCATACCTTAATCCAAGAGACCCCAGTATATATCTAGGAAAAAGATTATTTGAAGTTAAACGGACAAATTTACTGTCTCTTTTTGGAGATGAAGTAGAAGAACATACTGTTTCAAAAAATGCAAAGGTGAAAGTGTATCTCAGAATAAAGCCAACAAAGAATGATACTGCACCGATTTTGGCTCCACCTCAGGCAAGTTGAGACCTCTGTTTTGTGTGACAATATATTCGTATTTATAAATATTTTTATATATGCTGATTTTCAGCTTCTGTATAGTCTATTTTGTGTTGTATTAGATAAGGTAATGAAGTGTATCATCTATGTTGGTAGTTTGTTTTATTGTGAACTTCCTGTGAATCTGTTGACATGTTTTACCAGTTTGCTTGTATTATTATTTTATGATCTGCTGCACTGACTTGCTCGCATACTCTTCTTCCTTACAGAATCTTATTACAAATCAGTTTGCTCAGCAACTTTCATGTGTGATACTTACAACACTGTGAAAATCTTTACAAGTGACTTGTATATAAGAAAGTGAGTCTTGAGTTTGTCTTGTTAAATTTTACTTTCTGCTTGTTTTGTCTTAAAGTACGTGCTTTCCTAGAACAGGTCATACATTTATTACTTATTATAAATATAAATACACTTACATGTATTATAGGGATTCCAGTTTATCTGTGTCTTACAGGCTATCTGCTTCTTCCTCGAGAATTAACCATAAATCCTTTGCTAGATTACATGAATTTACAGCTGTTTTGAGGACAGTATGCCTCTGCATAATTGGAAAGTTTTAAATTGGTGTGCAGTTAGAGCTTGAATAATATTAGGGCTTTTTTTCTTTTCCTTCAAAACAATAAATTTAGAATATTTTTGTAAGATTAAATCTGACTACCTTTTTTGAGCTATTGACTGAAGATGAAAAAACATGGGCATGTCATGCAGGGCATTGCTGTGCCCCACAGAGGTAATAAGCATTAGTTGAAGTTTTTGGTGAACAAATGAGTCAAAAATTGTGTCCTGTCTGCACATCTGATTTAAGTATTTGTGAGTTTCATATATGAGGCACTAAAATGTAATGGCATGGAATTTCTCTTATTTCAAGACAACTATACTATTTCTAGAAACATTTTTTCAAAATGTGAGACTTGCACAGAAGCTTGTCAGCACTTTGAGACTACTTTGAACTATACTATACTATAAGGAGAAAATGGGCAGCCAATAATCAGCTTCTCCTGCCCTGTTATGTAGATAGCATGCCATATTACCATGTAGGACCTGGACTTGTGATAAATTTGAGACCTTGAGTGTAATTGAATAGAAATGAAAGTGCATAGGAAGCCTCCAAAAATGTCCATGTGGCATGTGGATTGGTCATGAGAACTGAATGGCCTGAAACTGGCTTAGAATTGTGTCCAATGGCAAGCTTTGATATTAGTAGTGTTGCACCTTGGGATTCTGCTGTTGGTGTTAGGTAGTTGGTTGTGCTCTGTTTATTAAAGCAAAACATATTTCAGATTTATGAAGTTTGAACTAGAACAGAGCCATTGGATGGATAGATGGATGAATATGTCTGTACACTCTTACAGACTGCTGCTAGAGTTGAGCATACTAGAAGAAACTGTTGAGTCAGTTTTGTAATGAGGCCATAAGGATGAAAAGAGGAGTAAATAAATAACATGGTTTATGAATGTGGTGTACAAAGGATATGTAATGAAAATTGTAAATGAGAGTTGAAAAATTTCAGATACTGTACAAATGCATATACTTCTACTGGCATTTGTAGGGTTAAAGTTCCTTCATGCAAACATGGTTTTATATGACTGCATTATTCCATATTGTACTGTGTGAATGAAAGTGGAGCTCTGTAGAATATTGATACTCTTTATTTAACTGGATAATTACGGTATATAAAGTATTTATTGTAAAAGGAATAAGATCAAGACTCATTTTAATCTCTGATAATAGGGTCCCGAAATTAAAGTCTGGATGTTAAAGTCAGCCATTGGATATTGTGCTAAGCCAAATGATTGTTCTTGCCATTACACAGAATCTTTAAGCAGTTCCATCCATCTTTCATTCTCATGGCACTGTAGTTACTGTAACAATTTCAATATTAATAAACTTTTAATCACAACATTGCTTAGAAATTTCCATATTTGTGTACACATATTAAATGTATTAATATAATTGTGTGATGGATACTTTTGTCTGTAGTTAAATTTATGATAACTGCATTGTTTTCATGTATCTTATGATGACTTCTTGCATTCTTTTAGGATCGATCATTTGAAGTTAAGGGTTCCCATACTTTGTTAGTAAGATCTCTGAAAGATCCCATGGTTCATGAGTAAGTATGGTATTCAAGGTGTAAGCAATTTATATTTACCTTTATTTTCTTATGGCAGTGATAACTAATGCATTTCTGGCTTGACCAGTCTCTGATCTGAAGTCCAGCACATTAGCCCATGAGCTAAACTGCATTTTGTTATTTGTATTACCTAAATAAACAATGTTAACAATTCACAGTTTGTGTAGTTTTAATTTAAAGTTGTTTGTATAATTAACAACAATGTCTTGTCTTAAGAATTCTCTTCTAAAATTAGAATGTGAAGAGAAATCTCAAAATATATTTTACATGTTGGATTATTATATTTTACATAAATTTGGAATTTACTGTTTGAAACTATGCAATTCTCTCACTGATCAGATTCTGATAAGGAAATGAAACAGAACAGAAAGACCAACAGTAAAGATTAAAAATACATTGTTTTAGTGGAAACTATATGAATTGGATTACAGCACACACCATCAATCATAACCAAATTCATCCCCTTTTAATAGTCTGTCCCAACCTTCCCTATGACATTCAAGTCAGTTGCACAAAAAAAAGCTTTGCAAGTGCGAACATGGTGTATTAATGACTAGAATGTGTGTTCATTCTCAAAACTTACTTTTTATCACAATTGTCTGCTGCTGTTGGTGAAGTATTTATTATTGCATATCTTAACAAGGATGTGCTGAATAAGGCAGCAGTACGTGACTGGTAAAAAGGTTTTGGTATGCAGGAAGTGTTTGTGACGGAACATCTGGTATCGGACAATATTGAGACGCTAACACTCCACACTGTTGAAGAAACATTAGTGCAATCAACAACTGCTTTGATGCAAGAATTGTTTGGTGAGCACACTGTTAGATGTGGCCTTTGACCTACAGGACTTCTTTCTGTGGGTATTTTTTCAAATAAAGAGTTTATTTGAATAACTCAGAACTTTGGGGAAGTGAAACACAATACTGAACAGATTGTTGCCATTCCTCATTGCTGCTGTTGGACTACAGTAACCCTAGTGCCATTTGTACCTTTTTACCCCTCATTTTCAGGATCTCGGTGGCAGGCGCTTTTATAACCTTGCATAACATTTATCACATTTTAGCATACATTTCTTTATTAATTGTTTTGATGTAATTCTTGTCACTGTTAAACCCTCTACAGTTTGGCATGTATATTTTAATTTTACCACATGTTATGAACTCAGGAACTTGAAATTGAATTCTATACAGCTGCAAATAGCCTTAGAAGCTGGCATGCCTCTAAACCCACACATCACATGATGCATGTGCATGCACACACAACAAGGATGTTTAATGTTTCTGTTATACTGAACACCATTGATTTTAATTGAATAATGAAGTTTCATTTATGCTGTAAATGACCAGATGTTACAATTAAGCACATAACCATTTATTTTTCATGGTTCTGTATTCAAAGTACTGTGTTTGAAACCATTGCCTTTCATGATTAAATTAATAGTTATTTTTATTCTTTTCGTCCTCTGTTTTTGTGCTGTTATCAGAACCTGGGATGTTGCTCGGGCTTTGACTACTGTTTTTTTATCAGTGTTGTTGTTGTTGTTATTATTTTCTCAGATTCAAATTTACCAAAATATTCATGGGTAATACAAGTCAGGAAAAAGTATACACTGAGTGTGTTCATGATTTGGTAAAGGACTTTGTCAATGGACAAAATTGCCTCCTTTTTGCATATGGAACAAGCAGTGCTGGAAAAACTTACACTGTTCAGGGTAAGTTGTGTTATTTTTTCATTGCCATGAATTGTATATAAGCCTGTATTCAAATTTAGATTTTCTAAGATGATGTAAGAATACTTATTGAATTCTGTTTGTAGGAACTTCTCAAGAACCTGGTATTATTCCACGGGCAATTAATGTCCTGTTTAACAGCATTCGTGGAAAGGAAAGTCACAGCTGTAGGTTCAAACCAGATATGGTTAGCAGAGTTGTGGAACTTGATGACAAGTCAGTGAGCCAAGAAATTTCATACAAACAACAGATAATGGCTTGGTCACAAGATAAGTACAATGTAAGTGGAAGGAGAATAGTTAAAAGTTCATTGTATAAGTTAAAGGAATTAAAGTAAAATTTCAACTTTCTTAAAAGGGAGTTACTTCTTTGTAAGGAGAATATTAAAGAAATACTGGTAATTGGTTTTAAATTAAAGGATTCTTTATTCCTTAAACAACTTTTGTTACATTTCATATTTGTAGTTATGCTAAAGATTTTGTAGAGATCTATATGTTATATTTCTCTCTTTAGGTATTCAATTCCCAGATCTCTGAAACAAGCGTAGACAGGCGATCAGACTTCACATCCACCGCTATTGACAGGCAATGTATGTACCAAGTTTTCTAGGCAATTAAATCCTGGCTATTGTATTATTTTTATTAGACTTCATTTAGATTTATTTTATATGAGTTTTACTTTAGAAGGTTTAACTCCTGCCTAAAGAGGTAATTTTAGATCAACATCCAGTCTAACTTGTAAACCTGTATTTCTGCTGTGGATTGGCCTTTGCTTCAAATGTGTAGTTTTGTTGAGTACACAGTAGTATGCAGCCATCCAAATGTTTACTCATTTTCATATTTTGTAGAACCTGTATAAATAATGTGATATAGTTCTAATGTGTAGAGTTGTAACAAATGTGTAGTTCTGTTGGTTTGGAAAAGTTATTGATGTATGCATAAAGATGCATAATAAGAACTGACTAACTCCCTGGTAGCAGAACCTGCAGGTTCAACACCGAGAACACCAAAGCCCGCCACTGACCACGATCCTGAGCCAACTCTGTCCATTTATCCCCACAGCCCCCCTCTGTAAGCTCCATCTTGATGTTATCCTCCCATCTCCTTCTTGGTCTGCCCAGTGGTCATTTTCCAGAAGGATTCCATACCATAATCCTGTATGCAAACCCCCCCAAGTGTGCTACATGCCCAGCCCACGGAGCCTCCTAGATTTCATTATCCTCACTATGCTAGGTGACCCATACAATTCACGCAGCTCCTCGTTATGAAGTATTCTGAATTCCTTACTTATTTCATCCCTCCTAGGTCCAAATATCCTCCTGAGCACCCTGTTTTCAAACCCTTGTAATCTACGTTTTTCCTTCAAAGTAAGAGACCATGTTTCACAACCATACAAGATAACCAGCAAAACTATTGTTTTGTATATCCATGCATAATAAGAAAGCAAACAAAATTAAAGTGTGAAATACCTCAACCCATTATTTGTTAAACTTCGACTGTTTGATTGTTCATTACCCTGGGACTCATGTATCTGCAATATGTTCTTGTAAATCTGTGCCAGTATGCACCATATTTGATTTTAATGGCAGTGCAGTTTATATGGCTTTTTCTCTTCCAGGTCCTGACTTTGTCTCAAACATATTCCGTGATATGCAAACACAACTAAGCGAGTCTTCACTTGTAGCTATAGAATCTGAAGAAGTTGTTTTCTCAATTTGGGTTTCTTTTGCTGAAGTGTATAATGAAAATGTATATGACTTGTTAGAACCAATGGAACTGAAGAAACAAAAGAGACAAAACTTAGTATTAGGTGAAGATAAAAAAGGCCAAGTTTATATTAAAGGTAAAGATGTCCTTAAATGACTAAAGGAGTTATGTTGTGGTAATTATATAGAATACATATGTATGTAGTTAATATTTATTTTCTTTTTGTGTTTGTATGTGTATAAATATTTATAGGAAGTTGCTGAACAATTCTGTTTGTTTATGGATCATTTTGTTTTGGGGTTGTTCCTCTATGAAGTTATCTACGATCTCATGTTAAGCCATCCGGTTCTTTGTTAAAAATACATGTCAGAGCCATAAAGGAGCGTGCCACCTTTCATGATATGCTTTGTGTGGTTGTGAGAACATTTTTCCCGTCTCCTCCTCTGATGTGCATAGAAGTTGGTGCCGCTGATGTCTGTCACCTATATCTTTATTTTCAGTTGTCTAGACCTATTCTGTGTATTTCTGTTCTCCATATACATATGCAAAGAAACTCTGTCTTGATTTTTATAATATTTCCATGGAAGATTGTCTCTTATGTTTATTTCTTTTATAAATCTCAGGAATCTAATCTAAGCTGCCATAATCCGTTTTCTTCATGTCCATTTGTGAGATCACTTTGATAGTGCAATCATGAAAATTGAATAAAATATCGTGATGGTTTTTAAGTGGTGTAGGTTCCTCTACTGTGGCTATGAGTGGTGTTATTCTTTTACACTGATTAATGTAAGTAATGTATATTATATTATTTGATCTTCTAGCTGTTTGTGTTTTTGTTAGGGGAAGATGCTATGTCTTCAATAAATAAATATATAAATACAGACAGAAGATCAAACGATACAGTTCACACCAAATGAGATTACATGTTATTATGGTTGGAAGTTTTAAGATGACTGTCTTCTTGGATGTTGTTCTGTGTAGTCTTGTAGCAAGTGACTAATATTTTAGGGGTACTTACTGCCTCAATCATTATCACTCTGATGATGGAGCCAGTAAACACTTCTGAAACATTGATCACTTTTTACCAGACTGCATGGTGCAGTATCCCAGAAGACATTAATTTTCAATTTACATCAAATCTACATTAATTTGTTTAAAGCATATCAGTCAACCTCTGAAGATGAATCTACCTCGCTTAAATCACAAGATTTTTTATGTGCACCTCAGAAGGTTTCTGAATATAAAATAAACTTATTTGTAGGTGTTGTTTCATAAAGATAGAAGTGAAAGTGAGTAAGGGAAATAAATTTCAGCACAGCATTGTAAAAATGAACATACAAAAATGATCATTTTGAATACAGAGTACCGTATCATGTGTTATTTTGTGCCCTACTGGCAGATGGTGGAAACAGCAGTATTAGATTTATGACCAAAACAAAATGTCTTCTGTAAGTGTTTGATTTAATTCTTTATTTTTGTGTAATACGTGTTAAAGAAAAAACTGTTTACAGGGTTGCGACATATCTGTGTTAATTCTGGTGATGAAGCTTACCAGGTTATGTTGTATGGACAACATAATTTGAAATTTGCTCCAACAGGCTTGAACAGTGTGTCAAGTAGGTCTCACTGCATTTTCACTCTGAAACTTCTACAGCATGTCAGAAGTGAACACCCAAAATTTGTTCGAGTGAGCATGTAAGTACAACTTTCAACATAAGAATAAATAGTGATATAAATGTTGAGCATCAATGGCTTCTTGGATGTTTTTGAAATATATAACACCACTTTAGGGGTGTGTTCTATTCACAGAAGCAATAAAAGAAAGTCTATAAACATGGCCCTTAGATGCTTTCTCTTTGAATTTTATTTTGGAAAGTAAAGTGTAAAATTTGCTAACAGCAAAGTATTTGTTTACAAATAACTGATTTCAGTGTTACAAATTGCACACGTGGATTTTCTGTTTTCCAATTTTGGTTTCAGGTTTTCATTTTGTGATCTTGCTGGTTCTGAGCGTGCCAAACACACCCAGAATGTTGGTGAACGATTGAGGGAATCTCAGAATATAAACACTTCTCTACTTGTTCTTGGAAGATGTCTGATGACAATTAGGTAATGTTGCTTCTTCACATAGAGCAAGTTCCAGAAATCTGTCAAGAAACTAGTTCTCTTCTTCTGCTGCAACATATATATATATATTGCATTGCAGAAACATTGTGGACAAGGCTGTTTCTGCCTTGCAAACAATGGCTCTGAAGTTGAACAATTTGAGTGTAATGTCATGTGATGTCAAAGAATTCAGTTGCCAGTACTTGCCACTACATTATAAGGTGTAATTTTGTTGGGACAGTTCCTGCTTTACTTTCTGTGTTTGTGTCTGTAGAAATAGAGTAAGAACATTCAAAATGACTGAGATATGATGGCAGTTATTTGGTGAATATTTCAGAGCATGTTTGATGTCTGCTTGCTTTTTCTTTGTTAAACATTTTCCATATAATTAACATTTGTGTGTAAAAAAAATCAGATGTACAAAGTCAAGAAGTTGATTCCATTTAGAGATTCGAAGCTCACAAGACTCTTTCAAAGGGCGTTGAATGGGAAGGAGTCTCTGGCAATGATTGTGAATGTGAACCCTACTCCAGTTTTACATGACGAAACTTTCAGTGTTTTAATGTTTTCAGCTATAGCAAAACAGGTAAATATATTTGTCATACCTCTGTGTGATTGTGTATCATATGTGCTTCAGTAATATTTAGTGTTCAAGATTCTCTATAGAAGTGAGAAAATTTTACCAACTGCTGGAAAAAAATTATGTGTGTGAATACAATTCAATGGAAGCTGAATCTCTACATTCCCAAATTCAAAGTTATTTACAAATAGCACAGTTAAATGTAAAGCGGTAGGATATGAAGGTGCTGTAGATGATGTGATTTAGTTTAGAAGAGCCATAGATATGTGGTTTGGCACTTATTTTTGATACAAATGGTTTTAGTTATTTAAGGTTTTAATAATGCTATCAATAGCTCAGGCTGTGTAGTGTCAGGTGATATGATTAGTTAATAATGTATTGAAAGGGATATGGATGGAAACGCCTGTATCCTTATTTAAGATTCTGCCTCAGCATTTGCATGGAGGAGCAGAAGAAAACCTCAGGAGCCAAGATTTGAACCTTAAACCTTTCAAATATGAAGTAGGTCTGGTCTATGATGTTTGGTTTGATGAAAATGGGAAATTTAGGTTTAATAGCCATTTTCCGGGGTCTGCAGTGGCCGCGAGGTCTGAGGCGTGAGCCTCATGCTGCTTGGTCGCTGGGACCGTGGGTTTGAATCCCACTCAAGCCATGGATGTTTGTTCGTGTTCACATTCACATTTTTCTGTATTGTGCTGTCCTGGGCACAGGTAGAGGCCTTGCGACGGGCTGATCCCTCGTCCAAGGAGTCCTACTGAATGTCCATAGATCAAGCCAACAGAAAGTTGGGACCTGTAAAAGGGTACCGGAAAATGTATATCTATTTTCCTTCTTATGTTATTGTTATGTGGGAGGTCTTTAATGATGTGCTCATAATTTTCAGATAACTCTGGAGATAGTGGAAACTATCACTGACAGTTGTCACCTCAAATTATAACAAAATTTTCTCGGCTAGGCCCAAATACACTATACAGTGTCATCATCTGTATGATGAGAGATACATGAGTGTTGTGTGTAAGGTACTGAGCTTTGTAGGTATATAACAGTCTGGTGATTTTAATTTTCCATCTGTGGTAAAATCAGTAATCAGCACTGTTTTGATCCACAGTTTTATTCCAATCCTTCATGTTAAACCACCTAGGTATAATTATGTAATAAGAGTTTACATTTAAAAAATATTTTAAGAAATTAATTTGTTTCAGTCTGTATCTCCTGATTTTACTGCATAGCAATAGGAATTCAATTCACTGTGTTACTAGTCTCTTCATGGACTTTGTATCGCTATAAAACTATTCTGATCCTATAAGAATTGATGGTTTATTAATGAAGTTTTGCTTGATTTCTTTGTAGATATCTATTCTGCCAGTCAGACATAAGAAACGCCTTCCCAGATCATCACGTTTCTCACAGTATGTCTCTAAGAACTCAACTCTTTCATCAAACTTCACCTGTGAAGGTATGCATTCAGTATAAGAAAATCTGACTTGCAGTAGGAAAGGAAATTTAGTTACTGCTAAATTGTGTGGTTTTCTTCCCTCCCATTAATGATTATGTGTTATGATGCCTTTAAATAATAGCTTCGTGGACTGATTTAAATAGATGTAAATATTTGCAACGTATTGGAGAAACATTTATACTCAATATTTCTCAAAATAGAACCAAAAGTGCAATTTGTTGGCATGAGAACTTCTAATTTGTCATTACAAAGGAACAGGTACTTGTTAGGTTAGGAATTACAGATGAAACTGTCCATAATTGAAATTGACAGTTTTGAGAAGAGATGTGGTTAAGTATCAATACACTGAAGTAAACTGACCTCAAATTTTCATTATCTAAAATGAGATAGTATAATAAAATTAGTGAATGTATAACATATCTAGGAACTTGTTTAATCATATATCAAATACTTTATTTGCAGGAATGTAATATGGCTGTTATATCCATTATTGTTTCTTCAGGATTAAGTTGTCTTACGATTAAAATCAGTTTTATGTGCATTGTTGTGACATATTGTATATTGCAGTTGAGTGGTTAGCACTCACGCTTCTTATCCTCAAAGTTCTGCGATCAGTTCTTGCCCTGGATACCAGCTGCCACTGTGGTTAGACTCTTTGTATTCAACTGCAGCTACATTTTCCTGAACCAGTCTTCCATCTTTAATAGGCTTATGAAATTTTTGTATTTATTTTTTGTTATAAAAATGGTTATATTGTATAGGAAGATAAAATTAATATAAAGGAAATATATTAGTGTAAACTGGGTTTTATTGGTTAAGGTCCATAGTAGGCCTGTTTTGTAATGAACACTGATGTATAGTACCAGGGAACTTATACAAATCTTCAGACCTAAAGATAGAGACAGCATGTTTTTCTGAAATGGCATCTACCTAGAAGTCCACACAGTGTTACAACCAAGAATACCAACATTGACATCTTCACCACGGTGAGAAATTTAGTTCTCTTAAATCTGTTTTATCTGTACTGTAAAACAACTTGTTGTAAAACTTGCCTGCGTAAAATTCATGCTATAATGTCCTTGACTACAATCCTCATTGCAGGTAAGCTATACCATCATCAGTCTTCGATATCTTAGATCCCATGACTTTCTGTGCGTTTCATGGTTGGTGTATTTAATTCCTTTATTATTTCCACATTCATATTATAGTTCAAACAAGTGTATTTGCTGTTCTCAATTCTGCTGTTGTGATTCTGCTTTCATCTCATACACTTCAAGTTTTTCTGCTGTAAGTTAACGTGGATCATGCTACAAGTCTTGTAAACTGTAATTCCTGTATGGTTTTAACCCAGGCTGGGTATGAACATTTGGTCTATTATACCCATTGTTCTGTAATAGTATAGTTAATTGTTAACTATAGAAATCTTGAAATTATGGTGAAGATTTACTGTAGTTCCTCATTCCCAATAACAATCAGTTCAGTGCAGTATATGAGCTTTTCTTTTTGGTTGTCATTGTTTTCTTTATAGGAGATACGACTGCTTCATCGCTAACAAGCAATAGAGATTATCAACAATTGCACAGTCAAATTGAGGTAAGAAATTGTAATGTAATACAGAACAAATTTCTGTAACTTAAAATGTATAACTATGGGCAAATTACTTGACATGTGACTGGCTCATAAAGATCACCTCAGAAGTCATGGTCATGCCTAGCTGGAAACATTTATTTCACTTTTTAGTTCTTAATAGCAGTTTAAGTCATGCAGTCAAGTTCACAATATATTATATTTCCATGTTCGGCAACATCCGATGGACGTTCCGGTGTTAGTGAGAATAGTAACTACACAGTTTATACTCAAACCTGATTTGGCTGCCGTCTAGCAGTAAATCAGGAGACTTGGATGAGAAATGGCCGCTGGAATTTTATTGATGAAACATCTTGAATCATGCTCATAAGGTTCTTTTACATGCCTTAAATCTGTGACATGGAACCACCCATCTAAGTATCCATTTATGCCTGGTACAAGAAATTCAAATTACAACTGCCATAGCTTCCATCACTAGGGACAGTGAACAAAGTTTGGGATGTGTTGGGTTATCATTTTGACATCAGCCATGTGACTCATGGAGCACATATAAAGTCTTTGTGAGGTGTGTACAAAACTTGATAGTTTTGCTATTGACTGGTGTAGGTATGGAGTTTTAAGTATGCTGCATTTGTTTTCTGTGTCATTTTGAAAGTTATTTTGTGCTCATACTGTATAACAAGTCTAATGTGTAATAAAAGTGGGATGGTACTTCCCCTCTGTTTTATCATCTGTGCAAAAAGATTTTAAACTATCAACAAGATGAATACAAAGTAAGAAATCAAATTAAGTGCATAACATTAATTTCTGTTCTTGTGCAAATATCTCTTTTCTTGTGACAGAGGTAAGCTATACTCTTCTAGGTGGGTTTATGAATTTGCAACTAGTAGTGTCACTTGACTTCATGGGCAAAATATGGAACATGTTACTCGTCACAAAATAATTGTGTTAGATATAAATCCTGGTTCCAGAGCAGGGAATGCAGACAATCATAAATAGAATGTAGTCCCTCATCAAACTGATTTTGGTTTGTGAAATTTATTTGATGCTTTTTGTTTTGTGTAGATGCAGCTTTACTTGCTAACCATATTAAAATGTTGTATTGCAGACCCTTATAAATAAAGTTGGTGAACTCAAAAAACAATTGGCATTGGAGCGTTCTGAGAAACTGGCCTTAGAAACTGAAGTGAGACGAGAGCTGTGTGATTACTTCTCCAATATGATGGTTGAAGCACAAGCAGAGTGGGAGTGAGTACCATAAATTGCAGTTAATGTTGCTTTCATCAGGTACTTGAACATCATGCAAGATGGGATAACTCAGAATAATGACTGACAATAGACTTGTTGCCCAGCAAACTGCTGTAAGATGTCATCTTTTCCTTGGGTGGTGGGATGACTTCTTTGAAATGATGTTTCATCATTCATGAGTTGGATTCAGTTTATGGCTGTCATAAAATAGAATTTTTCTCACCAGATTTTTTTATGAATGTTACAATATGCAACTATATAATTATCAGGTCTCAACTGGAAAACACACAACAACGGTATGAGCAAATGGGTGACTGGAGATTGCGCAAATTGGAGGAATACTATGAACAGCAGCAAACAAGAAAAAGACATTGTGCTGATTCCTCCGAAGATGTGGACTGTATATTGCAGGTATGTTAATGATCTTATTTCATTGTCAATTATCTTCATCTAAATTAAGTAAGAAGAATCAAATGATTATCTGCATTAGCAGCTACACCTTTTTCTATCTGGTCTGATTTAGTAAATAACTTAATGTAGCAGAATCCTTTTTGAGCTTATAGTCATTTAGTTGGTGAAAAAATTTCTGCCACTCATGGAATCTGAAGCTTCAATGCTGTACTCACAAGAACCTGTCACTGGACCCTACTTTTAATTACTTCCTATAAAAATTAATACATCAAGAAAGAACATATTTAGCTTAACAATGTTGGAGGAATTACAGAATCCTGTCATAATGTCATTGGTTAAGGTATTGTTTCTGCTTATAGAAGACCCTAGCTTAATCCTTATGTTAGGGCTGGTGTGAATTATTTAATTACATCAGATTAGTGTATTTTCTGTATTCTCTCAAGACTGCTAGTGTCTTTTAACCAATCTGCTTTTCTTGGTAGTCATAAATGGTTGCATCCGATTGTGTAGATAGTGAATAACAAATGTTAGAGTACTGTCAACTCAAATTATATATTTCACATATGTAAATATGTCATTAACACTACATGTTTCAGCATGTTGCTATCTTCTGGTGTACTGTATATACCCTATATTGAGTGTCAAGTATTATTTACTAAAATGCATAATTAATAGAATGATATGGATCTATGCTTAGAACTGATAGAAGTTAAAATGTCAAAATACTGCATTACTACCACACATTTCCCCCCAAATTTTGCATGTCTAAATATATATATATATATATATTTTGAATTCAGTTCATGAACAAAGTGCATGCTGGGGTTATATCTGTCTTGTGTTGATTGATGAATCTGCTGTATTGGTCAGTTTCATTTATTATTTACAGGATGCTGACACAGAAGTGACATGCTTGACAGAGAAACATCATGTAGCAAATGAATTGCTTAAGGCATCTCACAAGGAATGCCATGAACTCTCAGAAAAAAACTCCAAGTTGATGTTTGAATTATCACATTGCAAGTCATCTCTGAAGTATGCAGAGAGACTTAAGGAGGTAACTTTTATAATTAATTACATAATAAATCATTACAAACAGTTGTGCTTAAAAATTTATTGAAAGTGTTAAACTTTATATTTATGATGTAGATAGTTATTGGTATTCTTGTCACTTTTTCTGAGCCCTTGTTCTTATAAATACTTACATTTTCACTATATTTTTATATTCTTGGAGGAATATTCTATTTAATAATTTGTTCGTTGATAATCCAAGATTATCTGTAATGTAGCATGCATGACTAGGATTGATAACTACAGCAATGAGGTAAAAAATTTTTAGTATGTGCAATTGGGGTTCTCACTTTTTCTGCCAGAATTATGAGATGTACATGCTATTTTTAAGTATGGCTGAAGCAATGTTTGCCAGTTTTAAAGTACTACTCAGAATTTACGAAAGGAGATTGAGCAAGACCTCAGAAACCCCATTTACAACATACCTTTTTGTGTATGACATGGCAGGAGCATTAATTTATATGTTCCAGGCTGCCCAAGCTGCTTGTAAGGATGGGGATGGAAGTGTTCTAATCAGTGAGTTTGAAAGTCAGTTGTCAAAAATGAAGGAAGAGCTCTTCGAAAAACAGGGCAGAATTAAGGTAAATTGTGGCTGAAAATTAGTTGACCCTCTGAATCCTGTGTATCAATATAAACCTGTCTTTATTCTCCTTCCTGTACTTCATTTTTAAATGCAATTTTTTTCTGGAGCTGGAATGGCTGTGTTGGTATGGTGACTAGGCTACAGGCTGGATGACTTGTTGGATTTCTCTCTTCTACAGACCACCTCTGTGGCCCACCCAGCCTCCTATACAGTGGGTACCAAAGTTTTTGTCTCAGATGTAAAGTGACTGATCTGTGAAGCTTGGCACTCACTTCCATCTAGTGTCAGGGTTAAAGATTTGTGGAGTTATACTTACACTCCCCATGTGTCTGCTTAATGTGGTGCTTGGTTAAGTATCAGGAACAACTTTACTACTACTTTTACCTTTATTCATTCATTTTTCTGTCTTATCTTTTTCATATAGCTATTTCCATCAACCTTTCATAGTGGCAGTGTGTACAGACTATGCTATATGGCTAGAGAAAATATTCACATCCTAATGAATAATGTGGACAGAATTCTTGGCTGACACCTGCTTACAAAATATTTCTGTGTTGCATGTAAGTGTGCCAATAAATTTAACCATTCATAGAAATTTCTTGTTTTATTTATTCATTTATGCTTTCAGGAATTGGAAGATATTCTGGAGGATGCAAAGGCAGACTGTAAGCAGCTTGAAGATGACTTGGAAGCAACAGAAAAGGAAAGAGATGCCCTTGATCTAAAGCTTGCAGAGAAGGTAAGACGTGGGTGAGGATCATTGCTTCTTTTATCTGATATAGCAGTCATTATCTCAGCTTTTGTAAAGTTCTGAATTTCAGATTAAAAAATTATGTTGTTATTCCCTTTATATGAGCCGGGATAGCTCAGTCAGTATAGTGACTGGCTACGGACTGGGCGACTGGGGTTCAATCCCTGACGGGGGCAGAGGATTTTTTCTCTAGCCTCTGCGTCCAGACCGGCTCTGGGGCCCACCCAGCCTCCTATAAAATGGGTACCGGGGTCCTTTCCCGGGGGTAAAGCCGGCCGGGGCGTGATGCTGACCACTCACCCTCATCTAGTGCTGAGGTCAAGAATGAGTAGGAGCTATACCTCCACTCCCCCCAAGCGCCTACATGGCATATAGTGGGACAGCTTTACTTTACTTTTTATTTCCTTTATATCCATTAACTTATTTTCTGTTGTATTTTATTAAATGTACATGAAATCATTTGAAATTGTGTTAAGAGCTTACTATTTGAGTCCATACTGTACCGTAAGATGCCACCATTATTTCTTTGCCAAAGACTGATATAACTGGATAGCAAATAGTACAGTACCCTGGGGACAAGAACAAAGATGGTTCTCAAAACAATGTTTTCTCCATTAAACCACCTTACACAGCTGGTAGCCTGAGAATAATTCATTATAGGCCAGGTTCTATTCCTACAAATGATAGAAAACATGGAATTATAATTTATTTTCATAAATGTTGTGCAATTTTTATTTTACATTGTTATAATGTCTGTAAGAAAGATGTTTTCCCACTAGTGATAGAACATATATGCGTATGATAATGTAAACACATTTTGAGTTACAGCAGAATTTTCTTCTGACATTACCTCTTAGGCTGGGTCCACACGACCGTACAAAGTACGTCCCTTGTAACGTACATTGTGACGTCCGTCATAGAATTAGGAAGGGGCATATAGGGTACAACACACGAAGCCTAAACCCTTATCAGCTATGCATCACGGCTTATGTACAGTCCAGCTAAAAATGTGGTTAAAGCAGCATATCACTAAACCATTAGGTTGTGTGGCCCCCAGCCTTAGTTGGTTAAGAAAGATGTTGGCATTGTGGAGGATGCCTGTCTCCAATTTCAGGCAAAGGGGAAGGGTATAGTAGCCCTGGTCATCAAATTCATCTGATAGGACCCTCAATGTACATATTCTTATCTTAACCTTCATTGACTGTGGGTTATGGTTTTCATGATGTCCAGGTATCCATGCACTACTTTAGCACACCACTGAAGTTTTAATCCCAGCAGACCCATAGTGTGGGGGGTTTAAAACTATTCCTTTGTGATACAAATTAAAGCATTAGAAGTCTCATGTGTTCAGCAAGCATCTTGTTTAGAATAAATGTTTTATAGAATAAAGCATGTGATTGTTTTTAAGTAGATGTCAGTCATTATATGTGTTATTAGATGCAGGTGATATGTTCCTCTAGAAGACCATACTCAACATCATATTTGACACGTTTATTTTATATAGGAAAGTGAACTTGGACGCAGTTTGGATGCTTTGAGTGATAAACAGCACATATTGGACAAGCAGTTGCATAGCCTAGACGAGAAGGACGAGTGCATTGAAATTCTGGAAAAGCAACTAAAAGAGGTTAGTCTATAAGTACAGACAACTGTAACTGAGTTGTTTAGACCTGGAAAGGATCAACTGAATGCACAAGAATCTGGTTGAGGCTCCTAACAAAGATTAATAATTGAAGGAATGTATCAGTTAAACAGGAACTGTAAAGAAGTTAAGTTATTTTCGTGGTGTAAAGTGCATCATATACTTAAAAAAAGAAAGACTTCAGGTACCTTTCTAAATTCCACATGTTTAAAGCAAGTTGAGAGACAAAGTTTTCCACAGCCAGTCATTACTGTTGAAGGTAGTAGTGACATATAGCACTGTTTATATGATAAGGTGTTGAAAACCATATTCAGTTCTGTTTATTTCAGCTGCAAGAGAAGTATGATGGTGACATGAAAACCATGACATTGAAAAATGAAGAACAAGACAAAGAACTGAAAACATTATTAAAGGACAATAAATCATTAAAATTATTTATGGCAGATGTACTGAAAAAACAAGAGGAAAACAACAATAAGAATGAACATAATCTTCAAGAATTGGAAAATAAATTAAAGGTACTGATATAAAGAGCTTATAATGAATTGAACAAGAAATACTATTGCAGAGGAACTTCAGTATTGTATACTTTTTAAGAATGTCTAATTTTTTGCCTATTTTCCCCACTTTGCGAGGGAAGAGTAAGTTTATGGTATCATATACATGGTATCATCCCAGATCTGTTTTTTATGAAGCTTGGCAGAGTATCATGCCAGTAGAGCCTGTTATGTTTGTAACTGTAATTTCCTATTATCAGTAAAGCAGACATGTGGCCATCTGAACTTGTAAGGTGTATGCAACACAATTGCTTCTTAATATAGGGTCCTGAAATTTTCAGTGGTTAAATATTCCAAAAATATGCAAATTTTTTTATTGTAGAAAGTTATATATATATATATATTGCTTTAGGTTTTATTGTGATAATGATTTATTGAAACAAGACATGCATAATTTTGTATGAAGTTAAGACATGAACATTGGGAATTAACGATTATTATTTACATGTGAGCAGTTACAAATTTTATGCTTGTGTTATATTGTGAAAATTTAATATAATCAGGATCTGCAAGTAGAAATTACATTCAGAAAAGAATCACAGTTGCAGCTTAGAGGACATTATTTAAAGACATGTACTGTTAAGTATGACACAAATTTAGAAGAATGAGAATCAAAAGCTTTTAGCTTTCTCTTTTAATATCTAACAAATGGGGTCCGCAGTGGCCGCGCAATCTGAAGCGTGGGCCTTGTGCCGCTTGGTTGCTGGGACCGTGGGTTTGAATCCCACTCAAGCCATGGATGTTTGTCTGCATTTTTCTGTGTTGTGCTGTCCTGTGCACAGGTAGAGGCCTTGCGACAGGCCGATCCCTTGTCCAAGGAGTCCTACCGAATGTCTATAGATCAAGCCAACGAAAAGTTGGGACCCGCAGTGCTCAGGCACTTGAAGAATGGGTCGTTCCCAGTATATCTAACAAGTTATTGGCATTTTGAAATGAATGGCTATGAAAAACTGAATTGATGTGATATGCTGTGCTGGAATTTTACAGTGCATTGAATGCTTATATTAAACCTTTTGTACTGTTCTTAATAAAATGTTAATTCTGTAAACTTCTCAGACTTTCTGGTTTCAATTACATTGTTTGTTTATCTTTTAGGAATCTGAAGATAAAGTTCTGCAGACACAGGAACTGGTACAAATCCACCAGAAAAGTTAGTATGAAATACTATTGTTGCCACTCTGATTTGTAGTACTTGTCTGGACATTTATTTGGTTGGAATTTTCTGTGAAGTTATGGCATTACATGTGTTTAGTGTTTATAAGGTTCCTGATATTAATTCCAGCCAAGTTTATTTTTAATTAGGTTTTCATATTTTTATCATTTCTTCCATGTATGTGCTGCTACTGGACTTAAAATGAACCTTCCTTTTTGTTCATCTGTCCTTCAGAATCTCATTAGATGTGTGTATATGTATCCTACATCCCATTAACATTGCACACCCATGTAGCTTTATGCCTGCCTCTAACAACTGATCACTTTGCAGCAGTACTCATGGCAGTCTGTATTTTTAAAAAAATATAGCATATAATCTAACAAATTTATTTAAATTTTAATTTATCAAGTGTGCCTGTGGCTTATCTGATGTTTAAACTGAACTTGTTACTAATCTGTTTAATGTGCAGTTTGTAAATTCCAGTCTGTTTGTGAACAAGACTAATAAAGCATCTTGTGGTACATGGATTTTTCTGTTCTCTTTCAGAAATTCAAGATCTACATTTCATAAAAGACAGTTTGGAGAACAAGCTCGATGCTCTTGAAAAGGCTGAAGAGAATTCAATAAAAGAAACTATAAGTGCTCAGAATTCTGCAGAGGAATATCGTAAAAAATTAGAAGAAAGTACTTCGTAAGTTGCATAGAGATGTATAGTAATCTGATATGAATGCGATATACATATTTTATTTACGTTACTTCAGGTTATAGCCATGCAGTTGCAACTGAACCAGCATGAAAAATTGGGAGATCGGTTTCTGAAAATATGTACGTGTGTGCGTGTCATGTAGGTGGTTACTTGGAGGAACCTGTTGCCTCCATCTTGACATTTGTAAAATTGTACTGGAAGATGCAAGTGATTGGTTCGTTTGGAAATTGTTGGTAACCATCTACAAGACTTCATATATTGTAACCCAGAACACCACAGTCTAAAACTGAAAGGCTTGCTGAAAATATCTACCTAGTTTTCTACCATATAACTAAGGTGCTACCTGTACACATTGGCAATCTGCAGTGACCGTCCCCAGTGATGTAACATCTCTGCACTTGTCATTGCTGCATTGACTGGTGTGACTTCTCTAACATTTAACCTTTGGATGCCATGAGCTGACTAGATCATTGTGAGGTGCTTGTGATATTACTGCCAAACTGAAAAGATTGGATGGCATAGAGTGTAACATGCCAATATCCTTAAATAGCATTAACCATTTGATCTTTGTAATGCAAGTTTTCTTTGAGGTATGGACTGAATCATTAAATATTATTTACGTGAGCTTTAGCTTCAAAGCATTAAATAGGCCTCTAATCTTTTCATCACCCTGAGGTTGTGTGTATAGTCTTACTTGAAGAAATGGAATTATGTATATTGCTCATATAATTTATTACAGATAAATTGTATCGACCATACTAACTGAAACTTTCAAAATGTTGTAGCTTGAACATTTATACTTGTAGTCCAACTTACATCTTTCTCTAGATAGTTGAAACTTGTTAGAAGAAATTTGTTTCTCTTACATTCTAGTTACTTGCTTCCCAAGAGCTTGACATAGAAGGTAAAATAAATATAGTATTTTATGCTATTTAGCTACTACTGCTTTTCAGCTGACGTCACGACATTAGTAAAATGTGAATTTCTCACAGCCAGTATTTTGTAGAGTGTAGTGTAATTGCTGGGTGAGTGTACCAAGATTCTAGTGATTTTATGTTATAAGTATTTAGTTTTGAAGTTTGAAAACTTTTTAACATTTTATCATTACAGATTATCGCAGAAGGAAATCACAAAATTAAAAGTACAACTGCAGACATGCATGGACAATGCAGAATTTGTAAGATCACTGAAGGAGGAATTGGAGAGCAAGTCATTAAAATATAAACAACTTGAAAATGAAAACGAATCTCTTAAGCGGTCCCTTGACATTAAGGTATGGATACAGATATGCCAATTGTTTTTTAAAATGAAGGACAATGAAAATGTGCTATTGTGATTGTTGCCTATAATGATGTGTCTGCCATAATAAGTATTATTTTACAATGTAATGTATAAGGAACATGTTTCCATGAAAAAAACAAATGAAAACTAAGTTTTGCAGATACAGATGTTTACAGCTGCAAAATTTTCATTCTCATACTCTTGTTTTACTCATATTTTCACCTCTTATTTATGTTGACCTGTTATTGGTGGAAGTTGATATAAACATTTCAAGAGAAACAAATTGAAGTAAAGTATAAAGGACTTATGCAGTGTAATATGCCTAATGTCTTCCTGGTTCAATAGAGAAATGGTTAATGTTCCTTGCAGACATTGTTCTCTGTTTGAAAATGGAACATATAACTTGCAAAATTTTCTGAGATGGTACTGAAATAATAAAATGTCTCTGAAAATTAGATTGATCTAAAGTGAAATTAGTAAGGAATACAGGTTATTTATTGTCAGACCTGTTCACTGTCCCTAAAAATAAAGTAGCATTTTAAATGCTATTTTCCTTGACAGTCTCCCTGAGAAAAAAATTACTGGCTGATGTGCATTTTTTTCTAAATTAATTACATTGTATTTATGTTAGATTTAAGTTAATTGCTAAATTCCATTTGCAGCCTATTTTGAGTTACATTAGCCTGGATTGTTGCAACTTCATTTGATGCACAATGGAGCAATAATATAGTAAATCAGATGGTGGAATGGTTGTAATGTTTTTCAGTTCGTTTTTTTATGCATGTTTATAGCACTAATAAATGTGCAGCAAGAACTTACTTTTACTTGAGAATAAGACTTTTAAGTGGCATGGTGTTTATGAGGCACACATCTGCATAAATTAATCATGAGTTGCTTTTCCTCTGCATTTAAATTCCTTGTTTCTCAGGAAACTGAACTGGACCATTTCAAGGAAAACAGAGATCATTTACTAAAGACATATGAAAACATGTTAAAGAAGGAAAAGGAAGAAACAGAGAGATGCAAGCACGATGTTCAATGCTACCAGCAGATGTTCCTTAAGAATACACCCACTCCCAATAAAAGTCAATATGAGGTGGGTGTAACTAACTTGGTATAGAACTGGAAGGGTCAGGTATAGAAACTCACTCCTGACAATCCTGAGCCAGTTCCGTCTACCTCTCATCTCCTGTCTTCCTAGTGGACTTTTCTGAAAAGAGTTCTTCTGTTACGTTCTGTATGCATTTGTGATCTTCCCCATCTGAGTTACATGTCTAGTCCATCATGTAGTCATCTTAAAATTATTTCTTGTAGCATGTTTTATCATAAGAAATATTCTTCCCTCCCTATTTGGTGCATCATATTTCTTGGTCAATTACTTCTGATATTCTTGGTTTGTGCATTGAGTGTTTGATGACACAATCCACAGAAATATTGTCCATATCACTATGGGTTTAACCATTATAAAACTTCAGTTCTGGAACTTCCAGGTTTAAAAATCCCCATGTGTTGATAATGGTACAAATTTTCTGCTTTTTATATCTTTGTTATAAAGTAGTTCTTTTGCTGTCTAGCCATCATCAGTTCATGTTTGTCATTTCCTGAACAAGTCGTATATTATTGGCGCTGATTGAAGTTTATTTAGGGTGTATGAAGATAAGCACTGTGTAGAGTTTGAAGTATTTTAATATTTGAAAACATGTTACTGTATTTCTTACAATGTAATTTTACTTGTACTTTATTCCCATCCCTAGGAGAAAATACGGAAGCTAAAAGATTATTTGACTGAGAGGGATCTGGAGTTGAAAACTTGTTATGTTAAGGTAAGTAAATGAGACTACATACGAGGTGCGATCGGAAAGTTTCCAGACTGTGTCAATAGAGGGCGAACCGGAT